CTCCCATCCGGTCACATGGGCAGCAAGCCACTCCCACAAAGGAGGCCACACCCACAGAGTAGGTTCGAACAATTTTTGAAACCCACCACTGATCTCTGGTGTATTTGTGCATGTATTAAATCAAATCCAATGTTTGTACATTGCTGTCAACAGTGTTATCCCCAACCTCACAAATGGACAGGAGAATGGCGTGATATTTTATCACGATTTTGTCACAGGCAGCTTGTAGACTGTATTTCTCGCTGTGCTACATTTGCTTTTTAAATGCTACAGACCTGATCTGACTTCCCAAAATGCTATGTAGCAAATAACTTTGTTATATGGGTGAATTTCTGCCACTTTCAGAGCATTGTTTTTTTTTACTGCCTCGTTTTTTAAATTCAGATTCAGTTCCTCAACCTTGAGAATATTTTTATTTTAAAATGCACTAAAATACGTGCCTGTGTCTCCAAACTTACGAACGTTTGATTTGCAATTTGGACTAATCTATATGCTCTAAGAGTGTGCATTTGCATGCTGACTGAATAACTTAAGTCTTTATTCTTGCATTGGTTAAGAGGAGAAAAAGAGAGGGGGGAAGAGGGAGAGGAAGAGAGGGGGAGAGGGGGAGAGAGAGAGAGGGAGAGGGGGCAGGTTCCTCTTAAATATAAGCGGCACAACATGTATCTCCCACATTTACTTGGTGCAGGGATCAGATATAACCTGTCTGGACAAAACATTATATCTGTACCAGGGGCATAGTTGGAAACTAATTCATATTCATACCAAGCTCGTTCATAATTTTTTTTTTGTACTCTAGAGTGGAATTGGAATGGCTTTTTCCAGATGTGTTGGAACTGCAGAATTTCCAGTTAACTTTGGGAAGCGTCTTGAGACACTTCAAGCAATGGAAAAGCTTAAGAGCAAATCAGATCACATAGGATAAAGGGCACACACATTCGATATTCGTGGATAGGTAAAGGGTCCCCTCGCACATATGTGCTAGTCGTTTCCAACTCTAGAGGGCGGTGCTCATCTCCGTTTCAAAGCCGAAGAGCCAGTGCTATCTGAAGATGTCTCCGTGGTCATGTGGCCAGCATGACTCAACGCCAAAGGCGCATAGAACGCTGTTAACTTCCCACCAAAGGTGGTCCCAATTTTTCTACTTGCATTTTTACATGCTTTCGAACTGCTAGGTTGGCAGAAGCTGGGACAAGTAACGGGAGCTCACTCCGTTACGTGGCGCTAGGGATTTGAACCGCCAAATGACCGACCTTTCTGATCGACAAGCTCAGCATCTTAGCCACTGAGCCACCGCACCCCTGTTATTCGTGTTACTATAGTATAATAATATAAAAATAATACAATGCAGTATAATAGGGAACTGGAGGCTAAAACATGGAGAATGGATGCAGGAATTGAGTAGGTCTAGTTTAGTGAAAGGAAGGACCAGGGGTGATATGATAGCAGTGTTCCAATATTTGAGGGATTGCCACATAGAAGAGGGGGGTCAATCTATTTTACAAAGCACCTGAAGGCGGGACAAGAAGTAACGGATGGAAACTAATCAAGGA